ATCTGAAAATAAGATCTAAATAGGCTTATATTTGTCTCATAAGAATGGGCCTATGGGCAAAAATGGGTTGGTCCAAATTGGGCTTTTATTTATCCACATATGAAGGAAAAAGGCCCATAACCCAACAAATTGAGGACGTGATCTTAATGCACCAATTTGAGACGTCGTAGAGGATCCAACTGCAATGACAGCAATGGTGGTAGATGAAATATATTATTTGAACTATTTTTAGCTAGACATAATAAAATTAAGGACAAAAATGCTCATTTTGAATTCTGTAATACATTAATAAAACATGGGAACAACATAATAAGTTCAAAAATTAAGTGTTTATGTAATCGTATTTTACTTTTATTTGAATTTGTTCAATAATTTATATATTTATATAATATTTTTCGTGCAATTTATGATATTTAAAAATTTAGAATGAAATATAATTTATATTAAATAAAAAGTTTGAAAAAATTATTGTAAAACAATGGCAATGCCACATGGAGACCACCAAAAATAATGACTCACATTACTTGTCTTGTTGCAAGCAATTGTGAATGACATGTGGACATATCTTACACTTGGCAAATAGTGACCAAGTTATATCTTTCCAATTACCACTATAAATGGTAGTACTTTCCGAAATATAAAGTAATTAGAGAAAAGTTTGGCATATATCATTATTATACTATCTCTTTGTTTGTTCTTGTTCTTAATTTAGTTTATTATTCTTAATTTGTTAGCTATTTATTTTATAACACGTTATCAGCACGAGACTCTGCCAACTTGAGATACTTTAAATAGAAAATATGGATATGCCCCAAATTTCGTTTGGATCAATGATCAATCATGAAGATATTTGTGTAATTGATAGCGAAACAACACACGTCATATTCAAAGATCAGAAATACTTCTCTTACTTGCTCAGAAGAAAAGGGAATGTTACTATAATTTCTGGTAATTCAAACTTAATAGAAGGCTCCGGAAGAGCTACTATATTCTTGTCTAAGGGGACAAGACTTGTTATAAAAGATGCATTGTTCTCTTCTAAATCCCCAAGAAATTTATTAAGTTTTAAAGATATTTGACGAAATGAGTACCATATTGAGACAATAAATGAATGAATGATGAATGCCTTGACATTACCAAGATTGTCTCAAACAAGAAATATGTGTTAGAGAAATTATCAACTTTATCTTCTGATTTATATTATGCACAACTAAGTATAATTGAAGCACATTCTATCGTAAATCAGAAGTTTACTGACTTAAAAACTTTTGTGCTTTAACATATGACCGAATGAGTCATATTTAATCAATAATGATGAGACGAATTATTGAAAACTCAAAAGGACATCCATTAAAGAACCTGAAGATTCTTACATGTGATGAATTTTCACGTGCTGCTTGTTATCAAGGTAAATTGTTAACTAGGCCATCACCAATGAAGGTTAACATTGAATCTCCTCAATTTTTAGAACGTATAAATGGGGATATATGTGGACTTATTCACACATCTAGTGGGTTGTTTAGATATTTTATGGTTCTAATAGATGCATCTTCAAGATGGTCTCATGTGTACCTCTTATCATCTCGCAGCCTGGGGTTTGCAAAATTATTGGCACAAATAATACGATCAAGAGCGCAATTTCTAAATTATCCAATTAAGGCAATTTGTCTTGATTATGTTGGAGAATTCACATCCCAAGCTTTTAATGATTATTTCTTATCAATAGGGATAAAAGTTGAACATCATTTAGTTCATGTTCATACTCAAAATGGCCTTGCTGAATCATTCATTAAGCGCTTACAATTGATAGCAAGACCTCTACTTATGAAAAGTAAGTTATCCACTACTGTATGGGGCCATGCTATCTTACATGCAACATCACTTGCTCGTGTCAGACCGACCAATTATAATAAATACTATACTTCACAATTAGTATTTGGTCATGAACCAAATATTGTTCATTTACGAATTTTTGAATGTGTTGTATATGTACCACCACAGCGCACTAAGATGGCCCCCCAAAGAAGGTTAGACATATATGTTGGGTTTGATTCACCCTCTATAATTCGCTACCTTGAGCCATTGACGGGAGTTACTGCAAGATTTGCAGATTATCGATTTGATGAAATAAACTTTTCGCAATTAGGGGGAGAGAAAAAGAAACTTAAAAATGATATTGCATGGAAATTTTCATCATTATCTCATTTTAATCCACGTTCCCTTATGTGTGAACAAGAGGTCCAGAAAATCATCCATTTGTAAAACATAGCAAATCGAATGTCAAACACATTTATTAATTTGAAAAGAATAACAAAGTCACATACTCCCTCAGTAAACGTGCCTATTCGAATTGACGTCCCCAAAGGATCATCTACAAATGTCATGGCTTCTGAATCACAAATACGCTTGAAGAGTGGCATACCATTGGGTTGAAAAGATAAAAATCTTAGAAAAAGAAGTACGAAAAATGACACTACAAAAAATCTCACGAAGATAAGATTCAAGATCTGATTAATCCTGATATTTCTGAAGAGATCAGTGAACCCGAGACTCAAGTGAATGAAGAACTTTCAATAAGCTCTACGAGTGATGAGATAAGTTTAGATCGATCAAAAATGATAGTTAATAATGTTTTCACATATAATGTTGCACTTAACATTATGCAAGACAATGATGATCTTGAACTCTTATTTGTTGAAGAATGTCGACGAAAATGTGATTGACCAAAAAGGCAAGAGGCAATTCAATCAGAATTAGACTCACTTGCTAAACATGAGGTTTTTTGACCTGTAGTTCAAACCCCTAATAATGTAAAAATGGTTGGCTATAAATGGGTTTTTATGCGAAAGCAAAATGAGAGAAATGAAATTGTAAGATACAAGGCACGCCTTGTTGCACAAGGATTCTCTCAGCGACCTGATGTACACTATGAAGAAACATATTCACCAATTATGGATGCAATAATTTTTCGATATCTCATCCGTTTAGTTGTTCATGAAAAATTTGAAACAGATCTAATGGATGTGGTTACAACTTATCTTTACGTTCACTTGATAATGAAATTCATATGAAAATTCCAGAAGAACTTAAAATGCCTAAAGCATATAATTCAAAACCTCAAGAAATGTGTTCAATTAGATTACAAAAATCATTATATGACTTGAAACAATCAAGACACATGTGGTATAATCGCCTTAGTGAGTACTTGATAAAATAAGATTATATAAATGATGTCATTTGCCTTGCATTTTTATTAAGAAAACAACGTCAGGATTTGGTATGCTTGCAGTTTATGTTGATGACATTAATCTCATTAGAACTCCAAGAAGAGGTCCAAAAGGCAATTGAATATCTAAATAAAGAATTTGAGATGAAAGACCTTGGAAAGACAAAACTTTGTCTAGGTCTACAAATTGAACATTTAGCAGACGAGTCTTCATCCATCAATATGCCTATACTGAGGAAATCTTGAAACGATTTTACATGGACAAAACACATCCAATAAGTACTCCAATGATTGTACGATCACTTGAAGTGAGTAAAGATCCATTCCGACTTCAAGAAGAGAATGAGAAATCTCTTGGTCCTGAAGTACCTTATCTTAGTGCAATTGGCGCACTTATGTATCTTGCTAATTCTACGAGACTTGACATAGCATTTTCTGTTAATTTATTAGAAAGATTTAGTTCTTCTCCTACACGAAGACATTGTAATGGAGTTAAACATATATTGCGATTTTTAAAAGGGACTAGTGATATGGGTCTATTTTATATTAACAAAGATAGTGCATATCTTGTTGGTCATGTAGATGCAAGTTATTTATCTGATCCACATAAAGCTCAATCTTAAACAAACTATCTGTTCACATACGGAGGTACTGTTATATCATGGAGATCTATGAAGCAGTTCATAGTGACTACTTCTTCAAATCATGCTGAGATAATAGCAAGTAGAGAATGTGTATGGTTGAGATCAATGATACATTTCATCAAAGAAAAATGTGGATTGAAATGTGATGTCAAGATACCCACTGTGCTCTTTGAAGACAGTGCTACATGCATATCTCAATTAAGAGGAGGGTTCATAGAAGGAGATCGAACGAAACATATCTCACTGAAATTATTTTTTACACATAATCTTCGGAATGATATTGATATACAACAAATTCGTTCAAGTGATGATCCAGCAGATTTATTCACCAAATCGTTACCAGCCTCAACTCTTGATAAGATGGTGCAAAAGATTGAAATGCGAAGACTTAAAACATTTTAATTGTGGTCTTTTTCAGGGGGAGTAAAATACGTGTTGCACACTTTTTTTCTTAATCTAGGTTTTGTCCCACTGAATTTTCCTATAAAGGGTTTTAACGAGGAAATAAGTAAAACGTATTGTAAATGTCTATTTATATTTGTTTTCAACTTTTCATTTATATAGACATACAGGAGGGAGTGTTGTAAAACAATGACAATGCCACATGGAGACCACCAAAAATAATGACTCTCATTACTTGTCTTGTTGCAAGCAATTGTGAATGACATGTGGACATATCTTACACTTAGGCAAATAGTGGCCAAGTTACGTCTTTCTAATTAACACTATAAAAAGTAGTATTCAAATATAAAGTAATAAGAGAAAAATTTGGCATATATCATTATTATACTATCTCTTTGTTTGTTCTTGTTCTTAATTTAGTTTATTATTATTAATTTGTTAGCTATTTATTTTATAACAAAAATAAATTTTTATCATGAGAATTATATAAAGTAATCATTAAAAAAAGAAATAAATGATTTAAATAAAATAAAAATAATAATATAATATTAAAAAAAGAGAAAAATATTCTTTTTTAGTGAGTAAAATATAAAATTATGTTGAAATTAATTATCTGAAAAAATAAAAACCTTTATATTTGGATAGTAAAATGAAGTATACAATTGGACAGGCCTTATAGGTTTAAAAAAAAAAATCAAACCTCTTTTAAAGTGATACCCGAGCCCGCTCATCTGATTCAAATATTTCCGCCCTTTTTTGATGTATTAGTACAATAGTAGTGAACTGTTAACAGTATTGAAGAAAAAATGGAGACTAAAGGGTCTTCACCATGTCCATACACGGCGACCGTTCGACGGAACCCTCACCGGAAAGCAAGAGCAACACCGTTCTCCACCGCGCCCGTTTCGCTTCTCCAGCCTTCAGCATCACCGCCACAAAATATCCCTTCGTTCCCCATTGAAGAAATTCTGTCCATGGAAGTCCCTGAAAAAAAACTTACGGAGGCATCATCGGAGAATCTGAAGGTATTTATGAGAATCCGAACATTGAACATTCAACGAGAAACACTGAAAAAAGTCTCTGAAATGAAGAAGACAAAGAATACTTGGCCCAAAAACCCTAAGTCGACTAATGCGTTGCCGAAGAAGCTCAAAAAGAGCAATGAAGTCTGTGTGACAGTGAACGATGCACATTCTGTAACTGTATCGCCCCCACAGAGCTTACAAGATGGCAAACGTATTAAATCAGAAGTTTATCAAGGGTTTTCACAAGTCTTCTCATCAGAAGCATCTCAGGTTATTTGTTTATATTTTTAGATAACCAGAAATTACATTTATGTTAAATTACTTTTTTGTATTAAATTGAAATATATCCAGGATTCTCTAGTTTGGGGTTGAGATATTGCGATTTGTGTTGCAGAGGGAAGTGTATGAAAAAATGGTGAGTCCTTTAGTTGAGGATCTTCTGAACGGTAGGAGTGGCATGTTGGCTGCATTGGGACCAAGTTGTTCTGGGAAAACTCATACCATCTTTGGGTGTGGAAGGGACCCTGGTATGGTGCCTTTGGCTCTTGATCGAATTTTATCACAAGAAGACAACAAGATGCAGTCACAGAGGTGCTTTCATTTCTAATGTGTTCTAAAGGATTTTCAATATATTTTAGCAATTTCCTAGTCCTTGGGGTTTGAACTTTCTTAAAACTGTCATTGCATTCTTAATTGTGGGATAAAATGCATTCAATAATTGCTTTTTTGGCCCATGATTTATCACGTGCAGGATATTTTATCTATCCATGTTTGAGATCTCTTCTGAGAAAGGAAAATCTGAAAAGATATTTGATTTACTTAAAGATGGGGCTGATTTGTTTATCCATCAATCATCGATTAAAGGCATGCGAGAGGTTGTTCTTTGAATTGCTGTATAGCTTCTCTTTGTTGCATTTTTTCCCCAGTCTAAAACTCCTGCGGTTCAAAGAGATCAAATAATTGTGTGCGCTCTGGTGCTTCTGAACAGGCTATACTTTATGATCCATTACAAGCTGAATCTCTAATCGCGTCTGGACTTTTGAAGCGTGCTACAGCTATGACAAATTCAAACAATCAATCTAGGTAAGTTTTGGATATAAAAACTTATGTTGGTCTGTGGCTGTTGTTTTGCTTTATGCTCTGGTTTGTGATATTTGAGACACTGTTGCTAGTGTCTCTCCCTAATGATATCGGGGAACATATGTTTTCTTTTCTTCAAAGGTTAGATTTCTTGCTCAAGTGACTTTTCTTTACAAAGCTGTGCTTCTTGTACTTCTTAAACTTGAAATGATTGATGGAACCATTCACGATAAAGATCTTTTCAATTGTGGAAACCAACCTTTCGTCGTTAATCTTTGGAGGCAAATTACATATTTATATACACAATAAAAGAATTGCTGAGACTCCCTTTCTTTTGATATCCCCAATTTGGGATTTTATCATTCAAAGGGAAATGGACAACTCGAGAATTAAAATTGTAGGTATTGAATTTGAAGAAAGAATTAATAGAAGACAGAAAACCGAAATCTTGTTTTGAATCATTTTCCAGTTTACGTACATGATGGACAGTTTAGGTTTACAGTCATGTTGCAATTGTATTTATCATGATGAAAGTTTTAACATCATTGCAGTCGTTCACAGTGCATCATAAACATCCGCTGTGAATATAAGGAGGTTAATGGAGAAGTTGGTGATAACTCAAACAGTGCTGTCCTGACCATAGTTGACCTTGCTGGAGCTGAGAGGGAAAAGAAGACTGGTAATCAGGTACAATTGTCTTTGGCCACTGAATCATATCATTACACAGAAGCTGTTTTATGGAATTTTAAAAGATCCCTTTCTGTTATTATCTTTGGTTTTAATGTCAAGACTAGGTTAGACCTTGATCTTCAGACCACTTGAAGAAAATTGTGACTCTTCAATCTTTCTTAACCTTAGATATTATGTTGCAAGTTTGGCGGTTAATGTATTTTTCTGGCTTGCAACATCTCACTGATAATATTACTCATGTCTAGGGGATTAGACTGCTCGAAAGTAATTTTATCAACAACACATCAATGGTGTTTGGCCTATGCTTAAGGGTATGTAGCATCAATCTGGTTTTCTGACTTCCCTTTCATGAATATTGAGGTATGCCACTCTTCTTTTTTATTCATCTACTGGAAGTTCTGTGCAGTCATTACTGGAGCATCAGAAGAACCCCAGGAAACCTATGCGGAAGCACTTTCAAAACTCTTTGGTAATGTTTTACGTTCTTATCCTTCTCCGTCACTTTCCAGTAAATTTTATTGGTCTCTAGTCACTGCTTGTTACTTTTATATTTGCTTCTACTTGTCGAAATAAATCATTTTGCTCCTATCCAATGTTATCTAACACAGTTCCCTATAAAATGCATAGGAAGGTGTAATAAATGTTTCACACAGTAGATCTATTAGAGTCTCGCGTCAAGTCATATTTCGGACAATTTTATGTTAAGAAATAACTTGAACAAAAATGTATTGTAGTGCTAGATTTGGTGTCGAGGTCACTGCACAGTTTATTAGAGATTAATATTCAAGGTAGATATGTTCTGTACTGGTATATTTTCTTCCTTCAAGTCTTTGATTCCCAGCCCCCAAGTCAATGTTGAGGCTGTTTGTAAAATGGTTTTATTCGTTGGATAGGTATATTGTATACACAGCTTTGGATAGCTATTTTTCTATCAGATAGAATATCCTTCATCTGATTTTCCTTAGTAATTTTCTGGGTTCTTATTTTGCATAGTTGACCAGATACTTACGAGATTATTTGGAAGGCAAGAAACGGATGGCATTGGTATGCATTTACTCCTGCAGAAATCAGTTTAGATATTTGAAAACTGTCATGAACTGCTAAAAGTATGGGAAGTCCATCAATTTTTTCTGCTTCACAATTTTCTTAACATTGTCCTTTGTGGCTTTCTATGTCCATGCTGCAGCTTCTAACTGTAAGACCCGGGGAAGAAGACTATCTTGATACTTCTTTTCTGCTAAGGCAGGCTTCACCATATACAAAAATCAAGTATGACGGCTGTTATAACAATTGCTTTAGCATTGAGCTTTTCAATTATTTAGAAGTAATTTTTGAACAAGGAACTGTTGATGCAGGTTTGATATCATTGAAGAACATGGAATTTTAAACCACAATAAGAGGCCTGTGCAAAGAACACCTAGCTATGTGCAGCTTAAAAGAATGAAGTTGAGCAAAAATGAAGATCCTGAGGTGTATCTTATTTGTACCATTTTTCTATTTTACATCCTGCACCCAAGACTTTATGCTTAAGTACATGTTTCACCGGAGGCTTGGCGTGAGGTGATTGTCTAATCCAGTTTTTGGTGTGAGGTGATTGCTTACTGAATTACCAGTTTCGTTAGTCTCTTAAGATTATCCTTGAACCTTCAACATAGAAAGAAAAACCATTCTGATCTTTGTGCTTTAAGTGACTCTTGTAAGAAAACATCTTTTGACAATCTCTTGGGTGACAATTTTAAATTACCAAGTTAACTAAACATTCATTCTGCTTAGAAACAATATCTTGTTCTACCTCCAGGGTTTTGGTCAAGTGGGAGGAGTGCGGCGCGTGATGTGTGGGGGTTGGGCTGTCATAGGTTCAAACCTTTCTAGAGACAAAAGTTCAGTATTAAGTGGAGAAGGGATAGAGGGATTGGCCTATTATACACTGAATTCATAATTTTGTGGTATTGGCCTCCAAGATTTCTTTGTTATAAGAAATAGTCAATATTTTGATCCAGTGCTCTTTCATTAAGATGATGTTCATATGTTTCCTTTTGCAATTCTCTTTCCAATTTGTCTATTTATTGTTCATTCACCTATTATCGTTAAACAGAAAATATTGTTTAATAAATAGAAACAATACAATCACAAGAACCAGGAGGTGCAGTGAACTTAAAATCATAACTATCAGTGAATATGCTGAAAACTGAAAAGACAAATAAAAGACTAAAACTACATGGTGATAGATTTGTTAATAATATTGATCTCATTGTGCAAATGAGAAAAGAAAATAATTATTTCTATATAAATGGATACTATCAAATTAAATGAGGAGACAAAATTAATACTGCTAATTACAGACTAGGAAACAAAGTTAAATAATATATTATCATTGTAAGAGAATGCAAACTTATCCACATTATCAACTGCACAGTGACTCAAACAAAGTTTTATATATTACTATGTGATGTATTGGGCTATTTTGTGTTCTGTATCCAAAGTTATTATGGCTGGGAATCCTACAAAAGATGTGCCAAAAATATCATGAACTGTTCACAAAAATTCAAGCTACAATTTTGGGGTAACTAATCTTCTGCTCATTGTAGGTGTAGCTTTTCTTTACCCAGCAACTTCGGCCTTCAAAAAATTCATAGTTATTATCGATTCATGTCAACTGTTATTTTAATGCAGATCAACCAAGGAAGTGATGAATGTCCTCAACTTTTGAATAAAGGTTATCAAAATGTTCAATTCTCCGATCTCTATTTTTCCTCTTTTCCATATTTGTAGAATGGACTGCAAAGTACCTCCAGCAGAGGATTGTGTTTAAAATTGTTTGCTTCTGTTGGATAGAAGCGGCTGCGAAAGGAATGAAGGATGTCAGCTTAACAGACTCTCGTGTTCAATCTGAGGAAATCATCTCTATAGAAGCAAATGTGGGGAATATTCTCAGAGTTGATCAGGTTGAATTGGAAAGGAAAGAGAGAAATCATCACATTCTGCAAAATTTTGGTAAAGCTTTGTGGAAAGTCTTGAAAGAATACAAGAAAAAACTTGAGGTATAATGCGCTTACAATTACTTTTGTATAACTTGCTAGTATTGGATTTTAATATACTAAGGTTCCATTATTGGGCTTTACCAATGAGGAACTACATACATTTGGTTATACTGAGTAGTTGTGTTCTTGTAACAGGTGGCAGAAAATGAAATCTGCACCCTTAGGAATTGCTTAACTAGTGAAAAATCTAGATCTGCTGAACTAGAGAACCAACTGAGGGATTGGCAAAGTAATTGTTGCTGTAGGGAAGGAAAAAAATCGTTAGATTGTGAGGTACATGTGCCGGAATCATTTTTATATTGCTAATACTTTCCTTTTCTTGTCCACCATATAAATTTTGGTTTGGATCTTCTCTTCCATTTCACGTTGAGATGCGATTCTGAAGTAGATAGGTAGTGATTTTCTTAACTATATACTCTTTGTTCAAGGTTTCCCAACTAATACCTTTATGTGTTCATTCTTGGGCTTTACCATTAGGAACTATATTTGTTTATACTGAACAGTAATTTTCATGTAACAGGTGGCTGAAAATGAAACTTGCACTCCTAGAGATCATATAACCAACGAGAAAACAAGATTCTCTAAACTAGAGTATGAATTGAGAGATTGGCGAAGTAACTGCAGCAGTAGGAAAGGGATTTTAAGTGAGGTTTCCTTCAGAGAAGTGGATGAATTTGAAAGAAAAGATTTGGAGGATCATCAGTCCAATGACTACAATAAGGTAAATAAGCAAGATTCATCTTGGAGAACAAGTTTTAGATCCTTTAATACTTATCTTTTGTTAGAAAATAGGAACAGGAACACGAATAGTACATAATAGAATCCTAATTTAAAAAGAATTAGTATATAAATCCTTCTTGGAAAAGGATTCTACCAGTATTGTGAAAGGCGCTTGCCTTTCGACTTTGGCATAAGGCGAGGCACTTTCGCCTATTTTCTTTGAGGCGAGACGAGTTGAAAATGGCGACCTTATGGCGCTGTTTGGTGACTTTCTGCGACAAGGCTGGCGCTGCCTTTTTATTTCTTAGCTTTTTTTTAAAGGTCTGATTTATAATTAAAAGCCAAAATTAGGGTTTTTTGGTAACATTCCAGATTTGCGATTGCCTCCTCTTCTCCTCAGTCGTGAACCCTTCGTGTTTGCCTCCTTTTTGTAAAAACCGACTTTGCGATCTCCTCCTTCAACTGACTTCGCGACCTTCTTCTTCAACTGACTTTGCGACTACTACTCCTTCGCCGCTTCATGACTGTTGCCATGTACGTTTCTTCTTCTTCAATTCTTCTCTTCTAATTCTTCTCTTATTTTCTTCTTCTTCACTTCTCTGTTTTTCATGCTAAACTGTGCTCTGTTTTCAGTGTGGTAGGAAACAGGGTTGTTCACTTACTCGGTGTTTTGTTCATTATTAGTTTTTAAATTTTAATATTTGTTAATATATATTATTGCTATTGAGATTTTGGATATTTGTATGTGCAATTAAAAATTTTAATTTTTGGTATTAATTGAAGGCGAGCGCCTCGCCGTTCGCCTCGCCTCGTAGCAAGGCAGGCCGTTGTCGCCTCTCGCCGTCCAAAACACTGAGTCAGACCTTATTTTTTTATAAAAAAAGGCGCCGCCTCGCCATCGCCACCACCACTGCCATATTGGCACCTTGCGTCACTTTCTGAGTTCGCCTCGCCACACTGTGAGAAGTCGTGAGGGCCTCGCCTCGCCTTTGGCGAAAGGCGAGCGCCTTTCACAACACTAGTTTATTCACAATCTCTCCTGCTATTACTTTAGCTAATGAGATCCAAACAAAACTAACTGAGGTTGGAAAAGCCAAACCCAAGTCTTTTGCCACTATAAACTTTGTTCTTTATGTCCCTGATTCTTGCATTTGTCAGTTGTTTGACGTGTGCCCTACATTGTGGCATAACATCTTTTGATGATTTTTTTCTCATGCAAGACCGCAGTACGTATCACAAGGTCTTTATTATCTTAAAACTCTCCAAATTTCTTCACAACATGCTATACTACAGATCCTCCAGACCTAATTCACAAACATTTAGGACATCCGAGTCTATCCAAGCTGCGAAAGATGGCACCTAGTTAGTCTAGTTTATCCACATTAGATTGTGAGTTGTGTCAACCTTGAAAGCACACCCGTGTTATATTTTTTCGAAGTAATAAGGGTCGTCAAAGTCTTTTTTTCGTTAGTTCATTATGATATTTAGGGTCCTAGTAAAATTAATAAAAAATTAGTATTTTGCTAGTTTTATTGATGATTATACAAGATGCACTTTCGTTTTCTTAATGAAAGATCATTCTAGGTTATTTTATCTATTTAAAAGTTCTTTGCTGAAATACAAAATCAGTTTGGTGTTTCTATTCATACTTCTCGTACTTATCCTCTCAATTTCAGGAGTTTATGACTCACCAAGGATATACATCAAACATCTTGACCAAACCCTCATCATAATGAAAAAGCATAAAGGCAAAATAGGCATCTCCTGAGACCACTTGCACACTTCTTATTGAATCCCATGTTTCTGGCTGTGTTTTTTAGGCAATTCAGTCCTTAAATCTTGTTATTTAATTAATAGAATGCCCTCGTCTTCTGTGAGATGTTTACAATCTAGGGTTGGTTATCAAAGAAAGTAACATTAGTAGGCCTAAAGTAGAGGTCAGGCGAAAAGCATCGGTATCCCCTTAACACCTTTTGGATAAAGAATGTCACATTTTTTATTAGGTGAAAAAGACACATTTAAGAGCACGAGGAGCCAATTTGTCATTTCTTGGAGTGATGATATAGACAAAATATATGCTCCCAAACATATGTAGTGAAAGAGAAAGAGAGTTGACTTAGGAAACAATAAGAGTGTAGAACTTGATTTTGAATGCCAAAGAAAGCTCTTTGATTCTATACAAGAATCATACAAGCTCTAATGCCATGTGCAAAATATAACAGAAAATATTAATGAATTCTAATTACGTTGAGCCCTGTTTATAGATATAGTAGTACAATACTCTGACTTAATAATATGTCAAAATTAGTTTTTTTTTTCAAACTTTCATCAGTCTCCAGTCGCGACTTCTTCTCCTCTTCTCCAGTCGATCATCTTCTTCTCCTTTGCGCGAGTCTGCTGTCAGGTATGACCTCTTTTTTTACTTCTTTTAAGTTTTTCTCGAATCTCGACCTCTTCTTCTTCTTCAGCTCTCTTCTTGACTTCTTCTCTTCTTTCTTCTTTTCTTCTCTTCAGTTCTCTTCTATTCTTCAGCTTCTTGTTGCTGAACCCAGGATTGTGAATCGGGCCGAGACTGCTGCTCACTGCTATGCTTTTTATGCTCTGTTTTGTTCACTGTCACTGCTGACTGCTCTCTCTATTTAAAAATATAAAAATTTAATCCTTCTATAATTATTTGTTCCCTACTTAATATAGTTTTATAGAAATTATTATAGTATTGTCCATAAATAAGTGAATTCAATTGTCTTTTGAATTATTGGGTCTTTAAAGTTCTAGACTTTTAGTATCTAGTAAGTAGTATCTACTATTAGTTTTTGAATTGAATTATTTGCTAATATATGTTATTGCTATTGAGATTTTGGATATTCATATATGCAATTAAATATTTTAATTTTTGGTATTAATTGGTGCCTCATTTCAAAAAGGCTCGCGGCAAGGCGAGGTAGTCCCTGTCACCTTTTGTTGCTTTCTGCCATCCAAAACACTAAATAAACGATATCACACGAGTGATTTGTTACCAAAAAATGTGATTAGGAGTGCCTGAGTTCATTTGCTAGAATTGGAAACACAAGCAAAAGAATTACCCATAACAGAAACATCAAGTTGAGCAACTGAAGCTACTTGTGGAGATGTTTGCTTGCTTGGTCAATGTTGAAGGAACACATATTTTGTCTAAGCAATATGAATATTATTGATGGTCAATTAGGATGATCAACAGATGCTACTTGTGCTGATGTCTGCTTACATGTGCAATTTCGAAGGAGCTCATTATATTCCTTTAGAGCAATAGTACCATAACTGGGTGGTGGGCCATGCAAAATATAACAATTTTCATGAGTGTGTCCAAGCTTATGACAATAATACACTTGGACCGAGATTTTCCAAAATGACCTCATCATCATTGATTCTTCATAGATTGATATGCTCGTTTTTCTATGATGTAAGACGCGAGAATAAAGGAGTCAATGGTGGGTGATGAAACTACTTTGTGACTTGGAGGCGAGGCCACACAAAGTAGACGAGAGAAAAAATCATCAATCCTAAGGAACTGCAGAACTAGCTAATATGCGATCACACACCAAATAATGGTTAGTAGGGGTCAATAAGTGTAAGAACTAGAAATAACGTCTGCCTCTGCTGTTGTTGTGTTTCCACATTCATAGTGGCTGACATTTATGTTTAAATTTCTCCCTGACTGCCTGTACCTGTTCGAAGTAAGTAGACATATTATATTCTTGTTTCTTTAAGTTGGTCATTCAAAATATCACATTAGATAATCAAGTTATGTCACAAATGTATAAAGCACGAGCCTTTTTCCAAACGGAATAACATGTATGGAATGGGAGAATCAAGGATATCAACTTGGAATCAATAGATTGCCATAGGAGACTACATAATTGAGCAACAACCTTCTCTTATTGTGCTTTGTTTTTTGCATTTTCCTCACTAGTCTTTGCCTTTTCATCTACCACACACATTATTCGGTAAGTGGTCTTGAACACCTTGATCCTTGCACCATAACTCAACCGAGGAAGCCCAAGAGCTAAATTGAGCTTGAGCTTTCTATATTTTTGGAGTAAAAATATCAATCTAGAAAGACATTATGAAATCATGGGTCTTTTGTTTGATGGATAGAGTTATGCAGGTATTAGTAATGTGGGTATTACTTGTACATATATTAGTTAGACATAATACATATATTGGACCCTAAACTTGGCTTCAAATTTTAACTTTGACCTCCAACTTTCATAATGCACAAATAGACACTTCTATCCAACTTTTAAATAAATAAATAAATACATGTGTCCTATATGGCAAAATACACGTAGGACACCATGTAGGACAAAAAATGACATGTAGGACATGTGTGTCTATTTGTTAAATTTTATACAAGTTTGTTTTTACTTGTGCACACCCAAAGTTGAAGGGCATAAATGTGATTCGAAACCAAGTTAAAGGGCATATTTATGTATTATGCCTATTAGTTATGCAGATTTTAGTTATACACATATTAGTTATGTAGGTATTAGTTATCAGGATTTAGTTATGTAGATATTACAATACATTGGTGAGCTAATTTTTAGTTCTTATTCCAAAAATAATTAATAAGAATTTAAGAAAATAAATTAAAAGTAATTAAGCAATTAACAAGACCAAAAAACAAAAAACTTTGCAGTGATATATTTAACATGTATTAATTATTTGATTTTTTGTAAATTAATATACATTTAAAAGTAAATTAATAGGGGTGAATGTGTAATTTACTATTTTATTATTGATTTCTGTATCTACGTTATTTTATGGAGACTCTATTTGTAGACACTGCAATAGGATCCTTTTGCTAAATAGGATACTATATACTAATCCTATTCCTATTTGAGTAGGATTGTATATACCTATTTCTATTCTAACAACTTCATCAGTTTCTGGTAGGCAAATTGATGCCTTTGATCCACCAACATCAATTTGAGGGGAATTTTAGCATGTTGGACAGATTTGAATAGTTGCACATATATATGTAATAGCTCTAAATATTTGTGTGATATGTTATCAATTGCTTTCCATATGTAGGAGATATCAGAGATTAATGTAGTATGTTTTCAGAGAAATAACAATGAGGAATAACAGATATAAGGGGTGTATACAAAATTTTGGGCATATAAATCAGAATTCTTTCTATTTAATGGAAGAACTCTCCATTTTAGAGTATTCATTCAGCAAAACTGACAAGTATAATTTGTTATGGACTGCTCAACAGGTTGAAAGTTCAACTGGAGATGCTACTGCTGCTGAAGATCAGGAGAACACAAATGAACTGAATGCAGAGAGTCCACAATGGAATGTCAAAGAACCTGCTGTGTTAAGTGGGTCATGCTCTTCCACTGATCAGGAGTACAGGCGAAAAGAGGAAAGTTTTGGTAATAATAAATTTCTTAATCCTATTCATATTCAATAGTAGTTGTATAAAAATTTGACACTACTTCTCCCTATGATCTGTACCATACCTCTTAACTTCATTTCTTTTTGTCTCATCGTCTTTGATGTTTGACTCAAGTGCACTAATTACTAATATCTGTTCTATGTGTGAAGTTTCTAAACTCAGCACTTTTCAAGTGACTTTCGTAGACAGAGACACGGATACCTTGTTGGAAGAAGACCATTTGCCTTTTGATTCAGTACTTCCAGAATGTTATACAATCAGCACTGCTAAGTCATCTCTCTCCTTTGAAAATAACAGCTCTTTTCTAGTGGGTGAGGACCAAACAGAAAACAAAGAGGACAAGGTCAGTTCAGTCATGCTATTAGTCATTCTTGGTTATAAATTTCTCTATCACAAGTAATTCACATGTTTAATCTCTACTTATTTCACAAGGATACTTATGCTAATTATCTCTCCTGCTAATGTTTAATCTAAAATGCATTAATCCTAAATTTCTAACAAAATAATGTTCTCAAGCTACTATTGTGTTTCTCTTTAAGAAAAATAACACAGTAAAATTACTTCGGATATTTTTGATGTCTTCTGTGTAACAGCTAGTAATTTGCTTCCCCTTACCATCATGTCCGTGGAGGATGTTTAGTGGGTTTCTTTGGCGAAGAAACTAAGGTTGGGCCCACCCTTGCTGATATAAGGAGATGGTCACCTGCAACTTGGACAAACGTATTTGGGGGTAATATGTTTGAGATGGATGGAGGGACTTGTTTAAATTTCCGAATAGATACATGGTTGAGAAGATCATTCAAGGAAATGGTTCTAGAAAAAGACCAGAATGGAGTGAACTCCATTACAGTTGAAAGAAAATGGATTAAAGCGGTTGGAGTTCCTCTCCATCTGTGGTGGCTACTGAAGAAGAATCAGAGCTCAAAACCCATTTAAAATGGGCTAGAAATCTTGTGAAAACTGATGGTAGGAAATTGCCGAGGGAGGTTTGCATAACTCGACAGGTACAGCCTAACTCGGGGACATCTATAAAATAATGAGAATGGTAATAAGACTTAAGAATGACAATAACTCCTTTGTTCTACTAACCTATACACTAATGAGTTTATACAAATTTACAAAGTAAAAGGGATAACTACAGGCGATAACAATTAAGAGGGCAGAGGATAATTACAAGTACAAGAGACAATTACAAAGAATACAAATATAATTAATGACCAGTAGATAATGATATTGTTTTACTCTAACACCCCCTTCAAACTGTTGCCAATATAAAAGAGAGACGAAGTTTGCTAAAATACATAGAGATGAGCTGTTGTCCAAGCAGTTTGGTAATTATATCTACGAGTTGGTCAGCACTGAAATGAAGTGAATTGAAAGCCTACCTAACATTATTTTCTCTCACACAAAGGGATAGTCTAATTCAATGTGCTTGGTCGGGGCATGTAATATAGGATTCACACTCAACTAAATTGCATCGATGTTATCACAACACATGATAGTAGGGACAACACGTGAAATACCAAGTTCACAAAGAAGAGAGCTTACCCACATGATTTCAACTGTGGCATTGGTAAGTGATTTGTATTCACTCTCTGTTGAGGCTCGGGCAGCAGTGGTTTCTTTCTTTGTCAACCAAGAGATCAGATTGCTTCCTTGGTACACAAGATACCCATTAGTAGAACACTGGTCATCTGGGCAGCCAGCCAATCACTATCTGAAAAAACGGTGAAGTTTCAAGGTAGAATTCTTGGAAAATAAACAAACCAATGTTGGTCGTGGCATGTATATAGTGAAGTAGACACTTCACGGCTTGCAAAGAACCTTAGTTGCACAATCCATAAATTGAGCTAGTTTGTTGACACTAAATACAATGTCTGGGCAAGTCTAGTGTTGTCAAAGGCATGCTTAAAACATGTATAAGCCCTGAAGCGAGGCTCAAAATGTGTTAAGTGCCTCACTTATTGTGATTTTCTGTCGTCATCAATGTTCTAAGGCATACTTTCCCTTGCCAATGAGCATCTTTTGAAGAAATGACACTAGACAATTGATATTTCACATTGTCGTAATTTTTTTTTAATATCTATGTTCACATATTTGTCATTTTTGCTTATAATCATTAGTCCTGGACTAGACATATATATTTGTATTTTTTTCTTTCTTTGTGTCTTTTTCATTAAAGCCCACAATATAATTGGACTTAAAGCCCTAAGAACCTTAAACATTTTTTGCATTTGATAACACTAGACGCGTCAAGGTCATGTATTGCAGGGAACATACAATTTGACAGTATTGCTCAGAATTTGACAACAGTTCATCCATTGTCTTGCTCCAAATTGTAGCCACTGTCATTAGTGTGATATACGACCTATATTCTTTAATACTTGTCTCTTTCAATAGATCAGCCGCATATTTATTTTTTGTCAACAATAGGCTGTCTGATACCCTTACCTCAATCCCAAGGAAATAATTCGAGGCACCCAAGTCGTGGATAGGAAAAATTTCCTTAGTTTCGGTGAGAAACCATGACAACTTAAAGGAATCTGAACATCTAATCACCATGTCATCGACATAAAACAATATATAGATTTGTCATGGGCCTCAAATTAAAAACAAACAATGATATATCGACCTTGGAGGAGTGAAAACCATGACCCTCAAAAAATATGTTAAAGCGTTGAAGCCAAGCTCGAGGAGCTTGTTTCAAGTCATAGAGAGCGCTAGGAAGCTGACATACATGATCAGGCTTGGAAGGATCAACATACCTTCAGTTGTTCCATAGAAAATTTAATGGCTAATTGGGCATTGATGTGCCTCAAGTTATAAAAGTTTATTCCAGGAGGCCAAAATAAACAATTAAGAGACTTAGTAATTGTCATGAGATAGTTACGGGGTGATTTATGTAGAAAAAGGGGAAAGGTAGTTAGAAGAGGGCGTTCAAAGAAAGGAAAGGGAATGCTGGGAGAGTTCTAGCCTCTTGAATGTCTAGAAAGTTTGTGATATGTAATCGTTCATGTCTTAGGATGTAATTTATGGTGTTGGCAGTATCCTAGTGGTTGTTCTTTTGGACTTGTTGTAATATCCCTGTATCTATTGTGAAACAACAATATTTATTCCTGTATTTACTGTTTATATAGTTAAGTCTATCAACTTGCTATTAGGGCAATAATATTCAGGGATGGTAAGAAGAATTGAGGGACAAATCGAACAAGAGAAGTCTAATTTGACATTTTTTGGAAGGATGATTGATTTGTTTTAAGAATTGAGAGAGTCTCTTGCGAGAAACAAGGGAGAACCATGATAGTAGAAGCATCCCTTTCTCAAACCAGATCCATTGGGAACCAAGAAAAGGGAAGCATTGTCAACTTGGTTGGAGAAAAAGGTGAGAGGAAATCCCGGAAGCTACAACTATCAGTTTTAGGAGAGGATCCTAAGGATTAATTTTCAAAGTGGAAAGGTATTTTGCAGTAAATGAAATTTCTGAAGCTGAAAGACTAAAGGCAACATGTGTTTGTTTGGAAGGAAAAACCTTAAATTGGTATTTATTGGATAGAATCTCGGCAACCAATGTTAACTTGGAAAGACTTCAAAAGGGAGTTGTTGAATAGATTTCGTTATTCTCAAAAGATCAACCAGTATGTGTCACGACTCAACTTCTCGAGTCATGATGAGACCTATTATAACCCACTAGTAGGTAAGTCAACCCGTTCCTATAACGACAAGTATTGACCACAACAAGCCGTTGTAGAGGCAAAAGACTTGCTAACGCCTAATAGAAGGAGATAGGCTGATCCAGGACGCCTAGTGCTCACCCTCATCTCCGATGTCCACAAGATGCAAAAGATGGCACGAATGATCACTGTTGGTAGCTGTACTAAGACCGGCATCATGAAAAAGATGAAGAGTGTAGCATGAGTACCAAAACAAAGGTTTTCAATGGGCATCACAGGCCGACTAAGCAAGAAATGTACCAACACTCTAAAAAGATGGAATCTATACACTCATAGAGGCCAAAGCGAGTAAGAAAAGAAAGGACCTGAGCATACCATAAATGTAGGATTACCTAATCTAAACCTAACTAGACAGACCCCGTAAGCCCAAAAGGTATACTTGTGCGCAAGTTTACATAAAACCTTAACAGACCCCCATGATCCTGACATGTACACATAATAGCTAAGGCCTCATTTGTTTGCACTTAATGGTGGTTTGAATCTTAATTATTCATATTCAGTCCATGAAGTGTGTTTGATTTGTAGGTCTGGATCTGAATCATTCATATTCAGTCCATTTGTTATTTTTCAAAAAGCCTCTTAATGGACCTGAAAAGGTCTGAACGGATCAGATCTACAAGAGAGTTTTAACACTATTCAGCCTTATTTAATAAGTTATAAAATTGTATCGTCTTTCTCAGTCTTTGCATGACTTTTGCTCTCACAAGTGCAAACTTCCTTCCTCTCTTTTCTCAATCAAATACCAATTTTTTCCTCTTGAACTAGTAAGTTTTCATAATCTTTACAAGTATTTTTTTTATATTCATAATTTTCTTGGGGTGTATTGAAACACTTGTTTCAACAATATTTTTAGTGTATATATATTCATAATGGTTTTTGAGTGAAAAAATACTATTCATAATTAAAAACAATAAATATATATACATATTTGAGGTCTCTTATTAGAATTTTGTAAAAGCCAATAATTTTATTGAGACTCTTTGATTATCAAATTTGTTTGTGAGATAACACTAATATATTATCGTTGTTGAACTAGTTGGCGACCAAAATAATGGAGCTCAATAATTCTCATCCCAATCTTTACTTTCAGGTGGTGAAAAAATTGGGTAAGGAAAAAACTTATTCGTCTGAATTGTAAATTGACGAGAAGATGATTACTGCTCTAGAATTATTGATTAAAAAATAGTGCACCTTCATTTGAAGAATATATGGAAAAATTAGATGGACTTGGATAGGAAGAGTCGTTATACAGTACATGTGTTAGTATATTTCTGAAAGTGTCCACTACAAAAAAACATGAATGACGTTAGAGGTTCACAAGTTAGAGAATTAGATTAAAGTTATTTGAAAAAAGATAAGAATTCTTTAGTTTCTCTAATAGTCTAATTAGTCAAAATATATGTTAGGTATTGATAATGTGAAACCTTATTTGTTTTTTTTCAACTCGTATTTATCATGCTTATTGAACTTTTTGATATTATATTGTGCCTATAAAATACTTTTTATTTGTGATTTTTATGTTATGCTTGATGACTTTGATTTTTTAAAAATGAAAACATAATATTTTTTGTTGAAATGAATCTTTTATAACATTTTATTAAAATGAAATATTTGATTTCATATGCACATTCAGATATTAAAAACAAATAACAATCATTCAGGGTTTGGATTTGGAGAGAACATCTTAATTTTCAAATGTGTATTCAGATCTAGACACATAACTCTTAATGCAAATCTTAATATTCAGACATGTATTCAGATTCAGATGTCTTAATATTAATGAAAACAAATGAGGCATAAGTCTACTCAGAGAAGAGTACCACGAACCAAAATCTGGGCTCCCAACCCAAATAACCACCATATCCAGTCAACTCCCAACCCAACTAGCAAGAGTAACAATCAATCTAGGCCGCCCAACCAGCCAGTCCACTCCCAGGGGCGTAAGCCGCCCAACTAGCAAGAGCGCCTTGAGGGCGTGTCCAGGCACTAAACTCCATGTTTTAGTTTGATGCAGTGCATCCAATTCCTGTTGCATAGTGTCACACCATTCTTGAAATTTCTTAGCTCGAAAAATATATTTAGGTTCCTCCAACCGATAATTTGGTTTGGTTAAGGGCTTAAGGGTATATAGTTTTGGTGTTTTTGCATGGTGGTGGGGTGAAGTTGCGTGGAGTGGGTGTGAGATGGTTCAGAATTGTGTTGTAGGGAATTAAGTGGCACAAGGATTCAGGAGGAAGAGAAATGTAAGGGATTAGATTGAGACGGGCTTCTTTTGGAGAAGATAAGGACACACAATTAGGTGGATGAAAAAAATTAGGAGGTTGAGACGGAGAAAAAAATCTTACCATGTAGTAATGCAGTCTAAGTGAGGTTGGAAAGAAGATGGATGTGCAACCATGAGTTATTGGTTCCTTGCTAGATGAATTGGCCTAATTTTTCTTTGCATGGGAATTCTTGTGGATGAAATTTGGCTTGTCTATCTAGTTGTACCCGACCTGTGGATTTATCAAGACACTTACATGCACTATGACTTGGACTTTGACCAAGACAGACACAAGTTGATGTTCGAAATGAAAATTTATGATGATTGTAAGTCTGAAGCAATCGAAAAACCAAACACCAAAAAGGTTTAAAAGAAAGGTAGTCTGGGTTTTTATTGAATAAATTTGATACGGGGACTTTTGCTTATTAATGACATCTGATAGAAGAACTTCTATTAAAATGACACTGCTCAATAGCAAAATTCCAATATTTAGAACTTTTGACTGCCAAATATACTAAATAATTAGGTATTTGTTGTCATTCATGGAATGAAGTTGAATACCTCAAAAAATATTTTCATCAGTTGTTTAATGAAAATCTGGGTATGTAAAACCCAGAATGATATTCTTTAGAAGTTACAACTTTGAGCATAATCTGTTATAGACTGCTCAGCAGCTTGAAAGATCTACTAGAGATGCTACTGGTGTTGAAGATCTGAAGAATCCAAATGAAATGAAAGCAGAGAGTGCAGATTGGAACGGCAAAGCAGCTGCTATATTAAGTGGGTCATGCTCTTGCATTGATCAAGAGTATGAGCAAGGAAAGGGAAGTTCTGGTAAGAGTAAGATTCTATTCATCTTCAATAGAATACTTGTATAAAAATCTTTCTGATGCTATTTCTGCTCTTTTTGAGCTGTATCATATCTCTTAACATTCTTCTGTTTGTCTGTCTCATCCTCCTTTATGTTTAAGTGCACTAATTACCAATCTCTGTTTTCCGTGTGTAGATTCTGTAGTTAGCACTTCCCAAGCAACTTCCATAAACAGAGATGAGAACTGCCTATTGGAAGAGGACCACAAGCTTTCTATTTCAGTATTTCCAGAATGTACTGTCAGCTCTTCTAATTCATCGCTTACCATTGAAAATAAGAGCTCTTCCCCAGTGAGGAAGAATCAAACATGCAATGTAGAGGACAAGGTTAGTTCAGTTATGCTATAATCACCTTAATTATAAGCTCCTCTATCACAAGTAATTCACATGTTGTATCCTTTATGCTTTTCATCACTCCTGCTTAGGTATAACCTAAAATGCATTAGTGGTAGCAATGCAATGTCTCAAGCTGTTATTTATGGTCTTCAAGAATAACAGTTCGTTACGTTAATGTTCATGGTTTGATGTCTTTTTGCTGTGTAACAACCACTAATTCAGTAGAAAGGTGCAATAGTTTTGCTGTTATATCTTATCCTTGTCAAGTTAGTTCCACATTAGTTTAGGGGTTGGTTATTTAAATGACTTTGCATCTTATTGATATTTGGCACCCTTCATTTTTATTTTGAAACATGTTCTTTGTTACTAGCATTACTCAAATTTTAAGCTAAATCGCTGGAACAGATTACAGACATCCTACCGAAGTTCATGTGATACTAATGATGTTGCTATTGGTAGTTTAAGCATGGCCTTGTTTGTTACAGTATTTGTTGTGAACTTCCAAAAAGATGTAGCTTAGCTTTCTCCTGTATGTATTAAAAAAAGGCTTAATACATAGGCAACTCTTTAAACTTTCCGGGGAAAGATATAGACACTCAAAAGTCATATTCTCATTTGCACACCTCAACTCCTAATCAAGTTTTTCAATTAGATACTTTCGGTTCAAATTTTGGAAAAGAAAAACTTTTACACGTGTTTCCATTTGTCTATTCGGTAATTAAGTTAACCACATAAAAATATGTCATCTATGCATCAACCTCAGTAGAAAACACCCGGGGTTTACAATCTATTGAAGCGAATATGCCTAGTAAAAGGAGATGACATATTTTATATGGTTAACCACGTAATAGATGAATGAGAACAGACCAAAAAATGATAAATTTAAACCAATAATGTCGTATTGGAACACTTTATTAAGAGGTGAGGTGTACCATTGGAACATGACTCAGTTCGGGTATCTAAATGGAATATTCTAACAAGTTTAAAAGACTGACTATGTATTAAGCCATTAAAAATGTATCTTTTATGAATACTGATTCTTGTTAGATGTACTTCTATTTTATTGCTACAAGAAACAATTCTCTGTTTAATGCTCAGAATGCAAGTATGTATCATTATTTAGTAGAACAAGAAAACTCAATTCCATAGTTGGTGACTGTTTTGTCTCATGGTTCAGCATCATGTGTTTCATCTGACTGTTATATCTTGAGAAATAGATAATATAGGTTCTTTTCTTATGTAATTCAGAGACTATTAGGTCCATCAACACCGTTAATGCCTGGGGAAGTTGTAGGCCATGGTGACAACAATGTAGTTGAAGCGGTTACTAAACATCGTTCCGGCACTAAATTTCAGAATGCAGATAAACCAAAAAGGTGTGTGTAACATGTTCAGTTTTCTCATGCCAGCTCCTAGTAATGCAGCTTGTTTATTCCTTAGTCATTCGGCAATATTTTTATGCAGGACTAGGAGACTTCTACCAGTTTCGTCCATTTTATTAAAAGATTTAGGCAGCATAAACTTCAAGGACGACAATGAGAAACCAAAGGTGAATTTCTGGTGGTTGTCATTTCTTTCCTTTTCCTTTTATTAACCATTATCTGTATCCGTTTTGAAACAGTTCGAATTAGTGTGCCAATTTTTGTCCTTTACCTGGGTTTGAGATACTATATTTTCTACATCTAGCTCGTTTTTTTTAAACAACCATGCGTGTAATGTTTGACATAAATTTACTGCAGGGAGCTAAGACAGAAAAGAATGGAGCTTCTGGTGAAAACAGAACTCAGGGCAGCATTTCACTTCTTCGTTTGCTCAAGGATAATCTTGCTATCTAGTGCATAGTGCAAAATGATAACTGCATTCTAAGGTTTCGTCTGCAATAAACAACAGTTCACTAGCTTTTTTGAGAATTGTTAGGAACAGTGTTCGCTAAGAACAAGACCAGACATGGAAGAGTTCATGCAGCTTATGTTTGTTCTGAGGGCTGACTGATTTTAGATATCTTTCTTTCTGGTCCACGAGTTCATTTATATTTAAGTGTCTAGTTTAGATAAAAAAGTTTATGGAAGTATATTTTTCGTATAAAGATTTTTTGGATTGTTTTTAGTATTTGGTTGGGTATAATTGTTTGTGACATTTATCTATACTAGTTTTCGGAACGTGTGTTGCACATTTGTTCCATACAGTTGTTATATAGAAAATGTTGAATTTAAAAAATTAGTTTTACTAATTTATATTTTATTCATTAAATAAAATTCATAATAACCGAATATTACATTGACCATCAAGCAAGAAATATGAAAAAATAATAATATTACTATAACATCTAATAATATGAATATATTTATATGATTTATCCTTAATAATCTCTCATTACGCTCCATATACTAAGTACACAAATATGTATCTACTTAAGAAACTATATCAGTAAGGAAAGGATAAAAGAAAAAAATATTATAAAAGTACATTTAAAAATGAATTTAAAAGTCATAAATTAGTAATTTCAGCACTAATAAAAATATACATAACATTCATAATTTCATAGTAGATTAAATTAAAGAAGTATAAATCGATAAAGAATACAAAAAAATAAACAGATAAGAACAAATACAACATTCACACCCTTCTTAAGGCTTTAATTATAACCATATTGTCACGACCCAAAACGGGTCGTGAGTGGCACCCACATTTATCCTCCTATGTGAGTGAACCAACCAATCTAAACCCCAACATTTAACCATAATAAACAGAATACAATGCGGAAGACTTAAAACTCATTAATAAAAATAGATTAATAACTTCTAAAACTCAAACACTTATTATTATCCCCAAAATCTGGAAGTCATCATCACAAGAACATCTATCCTCAAATTACTAAAGCTAAGAGTATCTAAGAAACTAAACATAAATAATAGCTAGTCTATGCAAGAACTTCAAGGCATCAAGACATGAAGAAGAAGATCCAGTCCAAACTAGAAGCTTTAGCTCACCCTGAAATCTGGTGTCATGAAGACTGGCTAGAGTTGCGGTTGGGTTGAAGACAACGGTACGTTTGCTGCACTCCACAATGAACAAAAAGAAAACAATTACAAGTAGGGGTCAGTACAAAACACGAGTACTGAGTAGATATCATCGGCCAACTCAAAATAGAAAACAATATATATCAGATAATATCACAAAATCAACTACAATACTCAACATGCGGCATTTACAATTACCATAACCCTTGGTCACAACACCAAGCACATCAATGAGGACTCACGCCTCCCCATCATACTCATTTGGGAATTAGGTTCATTAAATTGAGTATATTAACATCTTTCAAGATTTGTTATCTTTATTTCTCTCGTGTCGGTACGTGACATTCCGCTCCATATACTATCCTGGTGTCGGAACGTGACACTCCGATCCTCATCATACTATCCTGGTGTCGGAACGTGACACCCGATCCATATTCTATCCTGGTGCCGGAACGTGGCACTCCGATCCATATACTATCCTGGTGTCGGAACGTGACACCCGATCCATATACTATCCTGGTGTCGGAACGTGACACTCCGATCATCATATACTATCTTGGTACCGGAACGTGGCACCCGATCCATATACTATCCTGGTGTCGGAACGTGACACTCCGATCCTCATCATACTATCCTGGTGTCGGAACGTGACACCCGATCCCCTAATCTTACTATTTTCGTTATCAAGCCTTCTTTTATACCAAGGCATCATCATTAACAAAGTAGATTAGGGTTTTCAAGATTTAGGATTCAATAGCTTCATCATGCTTATGTTATCATATTTATATAATCACATTCATGTAAGCATACAATTAAGCATATAGAAGGGTTTACAACACTACCCAATACATATCATTCGCTATTAAGAGTTTACTACGAATAGCATAAAAACCATATCCTACCTCCACCGAAGATTAGTGATCAAGCAAGCAAATTCCCCATAGCTTTGTTTTCCTCTCCGTTTCTCCTCTCTCTCGATCGTTCTTCTCCCTCTCTCTGTTCTTTCTAATTTTCTTATTCAACCCTCTTTCTTTTACCCTAATTAGCATATAATTAAGTATAAAAGATGATAAATTAACCCATTAATTAATTCAAGATTATCTCCTTTAACCCTCCAGTAGTTAAATTATTAACATTAACCCACTAGATTTATAATTATAGCAGGAATAGTCCAAAACGCCCCTTAAAATATTTAACAGAAATTCGACCCAGCCTGGGATTACGCAGTCTGTGACGGGCCGTCGTGTCTGCGACTGTCCGTCCTACTGAGTCGTCACAGAGTTCAGAGACTGAAATTTACTGAAGGGCCTATGACGGTCCGTCACGCTTGTGACGGTCCGTCCTGCCATTCCGTCACGAAGTTCAGAGAGTCGATTTCAGTACCCAAATTTCAGAAATCTAAGTATTTTGGAACGAGACCCCCTCGATGGTCCGTCGTGTCCATGACAGTTCGTCGTGGGATCCGTCGTCTCAGCCAGTTTTTCCAGAAATAAAATCTACTGCTCAAAACGACTAACATGTCGTTACAATAGATACCAATTTACCCATTGTTCGTCCCCGAACGATCACAAGAAGAAAAACAAGGGCGAAAAGGAGTACCTGAATCTGTAAACAGTTGTGGATATCTTTCTTGCATATCGGCCTCCTTCTCCCAAGTGGACTCTTCCACTGGCCGATTCTTCCATTGAACCTTGACAGATGCAATCTCCTTTGACCTCAACTTGCGAATTTCTCTATCTAAGATAGCAGCAGGCTCCTCCTCATAAGACAAATTCTCATCAAGAAGCACTGAATCCCAACAAATGATGTAGTTTCCATCACCATGGTATTTTTTCAGCATAGACACATGAAATACCGGGTGCACTCCTGAGAGTGCTAGGGGCAAGGCTAATTCATAAGCCACCTCCCCTACTCGCTTAAGTACTTCAAATGGTCCAATATACCTCGGGCTTAGCTTACCTCTTTTTCCAAACCTCATCACCCCTTTAATGGGCGAAACCTTCAGCAAGACTTGCTCACCCTCCATGAACTCCAAGTCTCTAACCTTTCGATCTGCATATTCCTTTTGTCTGCTTTGAGCCGCTAAAAGCTTTTCTTGAATAGATTTCACCTTCTCTAATGAATCCCTCAAAATATCAGTACCCCAAGGTCTAACCTCAAATGCATCAAACTAACCAATGGGAGACCTACATCTCCTCCCATACAATGCTTCGAAAGGAGCCATATCAATACTTGAGTGATAGCTATTATTCTATGAAAACTCCGCTAAGGGTAAGAAGTTATCCCAATGACCCTCAAATTCTCACACATGCACGAAGCATATCCTCCAACACTTGGATTGTTCGCTTAGACTGACCATCGGTCTGAGGGTGAAATGCAGTACTAAGGTCCAACCTAGTTCCTAATTCAGCATGCAATGTTCTCCAAAACTTAGAAGTAAATTGTGTACCTCTATCCGATATGATGGAAAGTGGAACTCCATGCAATCGAACAATTTCTGAGATGTAGAGTCTGGCTAACTTCTCTGTATTGTAGGTCACCTTGACCGGGATGAAGTGAGCAGACTTAGTTAATCTGTCCACAATTACCCAAATAGAGTCAAACTTCCCCAATGTCTTTGGAAGACCAACCACGAAGTCCATTGCAATTCTCTCCCACTTCCATTCAGGAATGGGCATTCTCTGAAGTGTTCCTCCGGGCCTCTGGTGTTCATACTTTACTTGCTGACAATTTGGACATTTTGCAACAAAATCAACAATGTCACGCTTCATTCTACTCCACCAAAAGTGTTGCTTTAGGTCACGGTACATCTTGGTTGCACCAGGATGTATAGAATATCCGGAACTATGAGCCTCTGTAAGAATAGTGTGGATCAAATCATCAACACGGGGCACACATACCCTTCCCTTAATTCTCAAAACACCTTCCTCATCCATTATTGCTTCTTTAGCCTCTCCTCGCAACACCATATCCCGAATTCAGCTTAGTTTCTCATCATCAAACTATTTTTCCTTGATCTTGTCAAGAAAAGAAGACTCACCTCCACACTGGCCAAAAATCCTCCCTTCTCATTTACTTCTAACCTCATAAAGTCGTCAGCCAGAGTCTGAACCTCTCTAGCCAATGGGCGTCTAAAAACTTGTAAGTGGGATAGACTTCCCATGCTCCCTGCCTTTCTACTTAAAGCATCTGCCACAACATTAGCTTTTCCCGGTTGATACAAGATAGATATCGTAATCCTTCAATAATTCCATCCATCTCCTCTGTCTCAAGTTCAAATCTTTCTGAGTAAAAATATACTGTAGGCTACGATGATCCGTATAGACTTCACACTTAACCCCATATAGATAGTGCCTCCATTGCTTTAATGCAAATACTACCGCGGCCAACTCCAAATCATGGGTCGGGTAATTGCGTTCGTGCATCTTTAATTGCCTCGAATCATAAGCGATTACGTTCTTCTCTTGCATTAGCACTGCACCCAAATCCGAATAAGATGAATCACAATAAACAATGAAGTCCTTACCTTCCACTGGCAAGGTGAGAATGGGTGCAGTAGTCAACAAAGTCTTGAGTTTCTGAAAGCTTTCTTCGCACTCATCCGACCATACAAATGGAACATTCTGCTTAGTCAAGCTTATAAATTGGGAAGTAATAGAAGAGAACCCCTCGACAAATCGGCGGTAGTAGCTAGCTAAACCAACAAAGCTCCTTACTTCTGACACATTAGTAGGTCTTACCCAATTCCTCACTATTTCAATCTTAGATGGATCCACCATCACTCCATCCTTAGAAACTACGTGCCCTAAGAAGGACACTGAATCTAGCCAAAACTCACACTTAGAGAATTTGGCATAAAGCTTTCTCTCCCTCAACATTCCCAACACAATTCTCAAGTGCTCCTCATGTTTTTTCTTGCTCTTTGAGTATACCAGTATATCATCAATGAATACAATGACAAAGATATCCAGATATGGCTTAAAAATCCCATTCATCAAGCTCATGAAAGCAGCAGGGGCATTCGTAAGCCCAAAAGACATTACTAAGAACTCATAATGCCCATACCTGGTCCGAAAAGCAGTCTTGAGCACATCTGCTGCCCGTATTTTCAATTGATGATAACCAGATCTCAAGTCGAT